GCCGGCCGTAACATATAGCATTTTCGAATGATCAAGTTTGATCGCTCTGAAATCGATTAATAAATAAAACTCAAACTCTGTCTTGGATTTTAGGTATTTGGATTATTAGATTAATTAATGAATACTTCGAGTAAGCGTTTGATTGATTAATCAGGGCAAAGAATCTTGTACTTTAAAGACAAAATAGCGTCAAAAACAAAGAATGTACTTTATATTATTTATATTAATTGGATTCTCACAAAACCTATTTTTGATCAAACATATATTCATCGTAAATCTGGTTTAATCGCTCTCAAAACGCTAAGAAACGCTAATAAGTTACTAGTAGGGTCACCCATGCCGGACAGGTCGAAGGGGAAGAGTCAGACTAAGAGAGATACTGTAGTTATATTTTTTATATTAATATTTTTAAATAAAATGAAAGTGAAAAAGACAATAATAGAGAAAAGAGAGCTTTAGTCGTTTTTAAAATTAATGTCGTATAAGTACATATATTTAAATTTCCCGAGAAAGGTATTATTTTTACATTTCCGGCCATTTAATTAAAATTCTGAGTAGAATTCCACAAGATAGAAAAAACACTTAATATTTTATACGCTAAAAAAACAAAATTGCACAAGATATCGCGATTTTTTGACATTTTATGACATTTTGCGAAAATCTGACAGCTGATAATATCACCGGCGATCATATAAACGTGAAAAAATTAATTAACGTTGTCAACAATTAAAACTTCTTAAAAAACAATAGAACGGTTAAAATTAGAGGAAAATATAGTTAATTATGCTTATATAAATTTGTTTATAATAGCTTTCAATGTGCATCGATGCGCACTAGTGCATCCAAGTGAATTCATAAATTAAAAATTGATTGAATAATATAATTATAAAAAAAATTAATAATAAAAAGCTATATAAATTAAAAGCATAATTTGATAATGCTTAAAATGCTTAATAGTTTTGTTTTTAGAAAAAAGTGAAAGCAATTTATTGTAAATATCTTCTATACGTTAAATTTTAATATTTAAAAATTAGGAAAAGAATTATTAAGAAAATTTATTTAAGAAAATTTATTTCATTTTACATGCGCATATATATAAAAATACTTCCATAATAACTTATTATTATCGCTGTAGTATATACTAGAATAACAAAACATCAGCGCATCTAATAAAACATTAATAAATCCACAATATTTCTCCGCATTTCAATCCATAATTATATATTTAGCATGGACATGCATCAACCGGCCGTTTTATCGTGGCATCGAAAATTGAATCTGGCCATATAGTTCCGCCGGCTTTAAAATGGATCTAGTCGATGCTACTGTACGAGTTAGAAAAAGCTTTCTTTTTTCTTTCGAAAAACGGCGGCGTAGCCTCTCTCAGGCTTCTCTCTGATACTACTAATGTAGAACTTTTGGGGTGATTACGATAACTTTGGCCCCCTATTTGAAAGGTCGTTTCTGAAAACATTTTTGACGAGCACTATTCGCAAGCTTGGCACGATTACGATAACTTTGGCCCCCTATTTGAAAGGTTGTTTCTGAAGACATTTTTCACGAGGAATACGGGAAAATAGTAAAAAAAATTCCGACCAATAGTTTTTGAGATATATCACTTTAAAGTATTGGACATGATAATAAAACTTTATAAAAACGGACTCAACGATGTTGACCTTGACATATGTTATCAAGATCATGATCTTGAGTAACTTTTCCTTATAACTTAATCGGCGGTCTCTTATAATTTTTGAGATATTTAAAGTTAAAGTTTAATTCAAAACGAAAATTTGGTTTGTGTTATATAACGTAACCCAAACCAAATTTTAGTTTTAAATCAGAAATAGGTTTGGGTTAGGTTATATCTTTCGGAAGTGGAGCCCCCCCGTAGAACGGGCGGAACCCACTGCGTCCACGCATATACTTTACAACGCGAAGCGAAGTCTCCACAATTACTAATAGTAAGAGCACTGAAAATTTTGTATTTATGTTCAAAAAACGTAAACAACGCAAGACATTGGTAGTACATACGATTCTAAGCTACACATGGAAGATACTCGCTACAGTGATCTTCACAACATATGTCAAGGTCAAGGTCATTGGGTCCGTTTTGTAACGTTTTATTATCATGTCCAATACTTTAAAGTGATATATCTCGAAAACTATTGGTCGGAAATTTTTTTTACTATTTTTCCCGTGTTCCTCGTCAGAAATGTCTTCAGAAACGACCTTTCAAATAGGGGACCAAAGTTATCGTAATCGTGCCGAACTTTTTGTTATCGATATAATAAAATAGTGTTTTGTATGATAAAAAGTTCACGTTTATTAATATTTTTTTCTTGATGCAATCAAAACGGTTAGTAATGTTATCACTCCTTAATTATCTCTTAATTATAACTCTTCGAGCTCTTGATCGCAACGAAAATTTGCCCATGGCTGGCTATCTTTATTTTTAACAGTACCCAGACAGCACACCATATTTATAAAATATGTACAAAATATTTATAATAATTATTTGAATATTTTATAAATATTTATCAAAATTTTATAAATATTT